GAAACGACTTGAAGGCACACAGTGGCAACAACAAACCTAATTTGATCATTAATTATACCTTACTTGGGAACCAAGGTGCTAAAAATCTATTTGTGGCCCTAAGAGGCTGGATGAATGCACAGCTGGGGTGAAAATTGCTGGAAGAAACATTAACAACCTCAGATATGCAGATGACACCACTCTGATGGCCGAAAGCGAGGAGGAGCTGAGGAGCCTTCTAATCAAGGTGAAAGAAGAAAGCGCAAAAGCCGGGTTGCAGCTAAACGTCAAAAAAACCAAGATTATGGCAACAAGAATTATTGACAACTGGAAATAGAGGGAGAAACCGTGGCCGTGACAGACTTTGTATTTCTAGGTGCAAAGATTACTGCAGATGCAGACTGTAGCCAGGAAATCAGAAGACGCTTACTTCTTGGGAGGAGAGCAATGTCCAATCTCGACAAAATAGTAAAGAGTAGAGACATCAGACTGGCAACAAAGATCCGCCTAGTCAAAGCCATGGTATTCCCTGTAGTAACCTACGGATGTGAGAGCTGGACCTTAGGGAAGGCTGAGCGAAGGAAGCTCGATGCTTTTGAGCTGTGGTGTTGGAGGAAAGTTCTGAGAGTGCCTTGGACTGCGAGAAGATCCAACCAGTCCATCCTCCAGGAAATAAAGCCCGACTGCTCACTGGAGGGAAAGATACTAGAGACAAAGTTGAAGTACTTTGGCCACATCATGAGGAGACAGGAAAGCCTAGAGAAGACAATGATGCTGGGGAAAGTGGAAGGCAAAAGGAAGAGGGGCCGACCAAGGGCAAGATGGATGGATGGCATCCTTGAAGTGACTGGACTGACCTTGAAGGAGCTGGGGGTGGTAACGGCCGACAGGGAGCTCTGGCGTGGGCTGGTCCATGAGGTCATCGAAGAAAAAATACAAAGACTCTACAAGTGGCTGGATCTGCAAGATTAGTAGAAATATACTGTGATTGAGGAGGGAGAGGGAGGGAGGGAAGGTGGGGATAATGTAATCTACATCAGTGTAAATTAGCATAATGTCTTTAATATTTGTTGAATTACTCAGGATTTATATGTGTAACACTTGAAATTTAGCTTATTGATTTGTGTTTATAACATAATAAAATATGTTAAAAAAACACACCTATTTCTTTAAGGGCAGTCAATAGTTTTCATGATTTACTCAATGAAAGGCTTCGGGTAGCACTAATTAAAAGTGTGTGTTCAAGGGAGACTAATTACATATACTGTAGGATCCTGAGTTCTAGCATTAAGCGGATTTTTTCTTCTTCCAAGTGTCCTCTTACACTTTTTAGCAGGGCCACTTTGAGAGAACTGGACAATTTCTTTTCAAGCCTCCTGTTAGGTAGCTTTGATAAATTGGAAAATCAAAAATTTGTGAATTTGTCCATTTCATACTAGAACTTCTACTGAAGTTGCATAGTGTTGAATTCGGGACCAACAAAACTAAGTATTGGTGCAGACATAGTTAAAATGTAGGATATACTATTAGAATATGGCTAACCACACAGATGGCTTTAGAAGAGAATTAGATAAATTAATATAGGACAGGTATGTCCGAGACAACAAGGTCGTGACAGTGATATGCCACCCACACGATTAGAGAGAACCAGTTGCCAGGAAACAGTAGTGGGAGCAGGCTGTTGCTCACTTTGTCCTGGTGGGCTTCTTATAGATATTTCATTGGCTATGGTAAAACTTGGAGCAATTCTCTTTTGCCTTCCTCTGAAAAAAATGTAACTTGCTAAAGGTCACTCAGTGGGCTTCCATGGCTGGGCAGGGATTCAAACCCTTGTTTTTAGAGTTGTAGTCCAATGCTCAAACCACTGCCTACACCGTGCTGGTGGCAGTTCCATTCATTTTTAGAATTAGATCATGCTTGAGTGTCTATTATTACATTTTGTTTTGTCTGGGAAATAAATAAAAAAGTAAAGTGAGATAAATGTTGGTTCCTCCATCGGATTATCAATCACTTCTGCTATAACAATAACGTATACATGTAGCATATTGACAGATACATTAAGAAAAGTATAACACCATTTTATTGATACGTATTAAAAGGACTCTTGCATTCTTTTACCATTACTCCACAAATCTGTCTATTCTTTTTCTCTAGGGTATATAAGTCTACTAAATACCTTTATTATGTGTTCTGTATTTGGATTATTTTGTTATTAGTGACTCAGCCGAATTATTTATTTATTTACTCTATTTATATCCCGCCTTTCTTGACCCCGAGGGGGATTCAAGGCAGCTTACAACATAGGCAATAGTTCAATGCCTTAAAAACAATACATATCCAATATATAATTAAATATAAATTTCAATTAAAAATGTAAACGAGATTAAGAGCATGAAAACATATAAAACATTGCAATTACAACTAAAAACCACATTATTTACAATCATAGGCCATTCTGGAATTATATTACTTCAGAGGAGGAGGCTACCAGATAGAAACCAAGGTCATAGTGGTGAATCATGGAAAGATAAAGATAAGGATGAATGAAAACAAAGTTTTCACTGAGTCACTACTTCAGGGCTTGCCCCCAGTCAGGCACACTGAGATCAGTGATACACTCTGCAAACTCTTGCAAAGGAACTGTTCTGAATCTTGAGGTATTTTTTCCTTCTACAAATCTAGATCTTACGTATGCATGGTTTATAATAGCTTCTAGTATTTACGATGTATAAGTTTGCTTCCAGTATGGCTGCAGCAGACCAGCCTCCAAAGGTGTGACTACAGAGCAGAATATTTTAAATTACATTTGGTTCTTAGAAGAGAAGTTGAACTAGATTCTTTTTTTGTCATTGTTCCTGATGCCAAAACATATGTTGTTTTTATGGTAGAACTCAGTCACATAACAGAAGCAGTAGTGCTAGTGTGATGTTTGGGGTTTTTAAAGTCATATTTAAGTTCTGCATGTCTGTCTTCCTCTCTAGCACAAACTCACTTGTTTTAAGCATCAGGTTTAGATATTTGTCATTTTTCATAGCTTTGGTTTTTTTCTCTTACAGAAACCAGTGCATTACTGACTACTTCAAACTAACGGTAAACCAAGGTAGGCAGACCTTACTTCTAATGAACAATTGTAAGGTTGTTGTACAATAGGATATATTTATACATTGCACTTTTCCTTGAAAGTGTGTTTTTATACATGTAAATGGAAAGGTTATTCACTTTGCTGCAGGTTTGGAGGCAGTTAATTATACTTGAAATGCAATGTGGAATGAAAAGGCATGTCGTGATGCATTGTGTTGGTTTCCTGTTTATTTTATTGCTTTCCAGATTTGCCAAAATCAGAGCTGAAGATAAAATCCCAGTGTATTAGAAGTGGGATGGTGCCATATATTCCTTGGGGGTTTGGGATCTTTTGTGATTCCCAAGAGAATTATTAGCTTTGTATGTGGACAATTGAGCTTTCAAGGAAAGAATGCCTTCATAAAAAACTTTGTTGAGATTGGGATGTTAATAAACTATCAAGGCATTGTGAAATTTGTATCCAATCCCAGGATTTTAAGTTGAAACTAAAAGTTCAGTTCTATCTTGTAAAGTTTAAGTCAAAATTCTTCTTTTAGACCACATGGTTTAGATTCCAGTTGTTTAATACAGAATTGTTGTTGAACTACAAAGAACAGTGTTGCTTATTTCAAGGCAAGAATTGAAATGTAGGAGAAGTTTGCTTTATATTTATTTATTTATTTATTTATTTATTTTTATTTACAGCATTTTTACCCTGCCCTTCTCAACCCCTGAGGGGGGACTCAGAGCAGCTAACAAAGCAGCAATTCGATGCCACAATCAATAACACAGTATAAAACCATAAATACATACAGAGTTAAAACAATAGCAGTTAATTATAACCAAATTATCATAAGTCATTAAAACAATAGTCAGTCCACAAACCCACTGATAGAACCATAAAGCCGTATCCTCATACATATCGTCTTGCCAATCCATTTCCAGTCAAAGTGCTGCTTTATGTTTATTGTCCGAAAGCCTGGTCCTAAAACCAAGATTTTAATTTCTTTCTGAACGCCAGGAGGGATGGGGTCAATCGTATTTCATTTGGAAGCGCATTCCACAGGCGGGGGGCTACAGACGAGAAGGCCTTGTCTCTCGTCCCCGCCAGCTGCGTTGGCGGGAGTGAGAGCAGGGCCTCCCCGGATGATCTTAAGTTACGAGGTGGAACATAGAGGCAGATGCTTTTGGACAAGTAAGCTGAGCCAGAACCAAATGTGGCTGCGATTTGTCAAAATCAGTCTTGCCTACACTGTCATGTTTTCATATTAATCTTGTATGGCCTTGCTACAAATTGAATTTTGAATGTACTTGTGTTCAGCCATGAAACATATAGAACACAATTCACGGCTCTTTTTGCAAATTCAGTTGCAAATCATATCACCAAATTTCATTGACAACCAAGGAAATTTTCATTTATAAATTAATTTAGAAGTAAGAAAATGCTTGCTTTTAGTGACTTGTAGTAGTTTCCCACCAAATTTCCGAATCACATCATCCCTCCTTTCAAAAAGCCAAACCACAAGCAAAATGTGTACTTTAAATTAGGTTTTTGATGGCATAGCTGGGGGAAAGGGGGTGGCAATAACAGCTGATTTCTAATCCCGTAAATAGGGACTTTGGTGCACAATTCCCTGCTGCAAATAGGCTGGGTTGTAAAGAACACCCATAATGTTGGCAGCCTCTGACATGATATGCAATCTGGTTTGTGGTTTGAAATAGAATTAAATGTTACATTCTGTGACCATGGAGTGAATCTTAGAATAACCTAGTATAGAGGCACATGTTGCAACTGGTCTCTAAATTACTATATATTAATGGCTTGTTGAAATACAATGGATACATTTTGCTTGAATCTTGTGTTTGTTGCCATAACATCATGGTAATTTCGCAATGGTAATCTTTTGTTTTGTTTCCCTTACATTTGTTTATAAAGACAGAACTGTGTTGTGTTCTTCGGAAAAAAGAAATGGAGAAAGCGGCTTTGCAGCTGCACATACTGCACAACTTAGACAAAACATATGTTCTCCAAAGCAAAATCGAAGAAAAAAGTTCCAACCTCCTCCACCAAACAGGAGCCCTATAATTGAAGCCTTTTTCAGAGGTGCTAAGTCTGAGCAAAAGGACAATCCGGATAATGGTGTTTATGTTTCAACAAAGACTATGCATTCAAATACTGTGGTTCGGAAACTTTTTGTTCTGAATGACTCATATGGTCATTCTTTAATATTAAAAGATAATACAGAAAACCCTGAAACCCAGAAAATCCCTATTCGAACAAGATCACCATTATCAGAAAATGGCAGAGAATGTAAAAAGGACTGCGTAGATCTAGAATTGATTGGTTCTCCAAAACCAAAAAGAAGAAGAAAATTACTGTCCTCGCCATCGAACAGAAGCCCTAGAATTGAAGTCTTTTTCAGAGGTGCTAAATCAGAAAAAAGGGACAATCCAGATAATGGTGTTTCAATTTCAACAAAGCCTGTCCAACGAAATACTGTGGTTTGTATACTGTTTACATTGAACTGCTCATCTGATTATTCTTCAGTATTAAAAGATAACATTTGCTCAGAAATCATTGAAAAGAATGAAAAATATCCTATTCAGATAAGATCATCATTATTAGAGAATGACATAGAATGTAAAATGATCTGTGTAGGGACCTTATAGAGCTGGCGTGGGCAAACTTGGGCCCCCCAGGTGTTTTGAATTTCAACTCCTACAATTCCTAACAGGCTACCAGCTGTCAGGAATTGTAGGAGTTGAAGTCCAAAATACCTGGAGGGCTAAAGCTTGCACATGACTACTTGCAAGTGATGGCTTTATCAATTTTTTTTTGTTTTCCCAAGAAACAGCTTGAGCAGAGATGAAGCATGAGAAGGAGAGTGTAGTTTTTTCATAAAGCATCTAGTAAATTGTCCTGTATCAAAGCAGTACTAATAATGGACATCCTTCATTATTAAAGTTTCCATGACAACACATGCCTCACCGATGTTTCACATGGAAGAACTGCATTTTTATTTAATGTTTCATTACCAAAAGAATAGAGCTTGTGGAGAAAATAATTGGGAATCTAGCTGTATCTGCTTCTCTTGATAGAAGGATAAGGAACCTTTTTTATTTTTAAGTTAAGCGAGCTTGTGCCATTCTTCTAATGAAGCAATGTGTGGATATTGCTTTACAGTAATATGGGATTTATATAAATTGCTGGCTTACAATTTACAAGTGGATTGAATGGATTGACTTTGGTAGAATGTTATGACGACTTTAGTTGGAATTGGTAATTGGTTTCTCTACAATTTCCCTTTTCACTGCCAAATAAACTGTAGTGGTGGCTTTTAAAGAACTGCACTGCTTTCTATATTCCTCAAGCATAACTTTTCTATAGACTTGTGAAATATTTTCTGTACTTATTTGTAGGACACAAGAGATATCTTGAGAGACACATCATCCTTCTCGTCACAGAAATCTTCCTCAGGTACAAGCAGAAAAATTAGTGGTGTAGAACAGTTCACAGGTTGCTTGCCTCACTATAGCATCTTCCCAATACAGGCATCCCCTTCTTTTTGATGCGTCTATTCATCCACTCTTGTCCCTTTGAAACTGTAACCAGAATTCACTAACTTGATGTATGGTCTGCTCTTTCGACCACATGTTGAATTAATGAGTTCTGCTTATGTATGGTTAAAGGAGTAAGAAGAGTGGAGTTGGGGTGTCTCCTTGGTGGGCTCTGCCTTTCCTTTACATGTCGTCCACATAAGAAATGTCTTCAGATGGACTTTGATGTGCTTGGCTTGCTTTGCTGGAGGGAATATGGTTGTGTTTCTGGCCTTGTGCCATTTGGTTGCTACTGAATTATAATATAATAATAAATAATAATAAACTTTATTTGTACCCCGCTATCATCTCCCCAAGGGACCCGGTGCGGCTTACATGAGGCCAAGCCCACAATACATCAATAAACAAAACATCAAATACAGCAGTCAATACAATACAAATCATATAAATGACAAAAAATAAGCAATAAACAATCAACAGTGACATACAAGCATTTAAAAACCAATGGCCGGGGCAAATGTAATAGATTAAAATTAAAATAATGCTGACGTGACATAAACATTTTCAGAGAGAAGTGAGGGAACGCAGTCAGTCCTAACTCAATGGTAAAGTGCATTTTGATGGCATATTGCTGAGAGTTTTCCTTATTCTGGGGAGGCACACTGGAACAACAACGTTTTCAGGCTCCTCCTAAAGACTGACAGAGTTGGGGCATGTCTGATGTCCCTGGGAAGTGAGTTCCAGAGTCGGGGGGCCACCACCGAGAAGGCCCTCTCCCTCGTCCCCACCAGTCGCGCCTGCGAAGGAGGTGGGAGTGTGAATAAATAAGGGATACACCAGGTGTTTTTTATTTACAACTTCATGCTGCTTTTTTAAAAAATTAGTGCCATCCTTTATTCAGTCTATGCATTCCCAGCTTATTTGAGAGGTTAGGCATTGTAGAGTCCTCATTTATAATATTTCTTCTTTTTGGTAGTACTCTGGACCTAACTTATTGAATAAGCCTTTAGATAACTTTATGTGTATCTAAAGTACAGTGCTATCTCACTCACACACACACACACACACATATATTTGCTTGTAAGTAAGTCTCAGTGCATAGCAGTTCTAGTATGCGCAAATAACATAACTACAATGTTCTAATGTATGAGGTGCCAAATTTTGGCATATTTTTATAGTAATCTCTGTTTTGGAGATGTTTTCAAAACATATTTCTGAAGTCATTCTGTTATAAGTGTAATGAAGTATAGATGTGTAAAATACTGCTTCATAGTTGCTAATGCATATTGCTAATCACAGTTTATTTCATCATCTGAACGGTCAGTGCTTAAGTAGAGCTTGTACAATCTTATTTCTTTATTTTTTTGCACAGATTTCTCTTTGCTTCTACCATAGAATAGAATCATAGAGTTAGAAGAGACCTCATGGGCCATCCAGTCCAACCCCCTGCCAAGAAACAGTATTCATTGGTAGAAAAGAGCAAACCTTTGCGGGCATATTTGGTCTTAGGTCCATTTTTGTTGTTTGAGAAGACTTGGGTCTGACAAACACTTAGAGATTCACCAATCCTGATACGTTATTAGCCATTTTTCTAGAAGCACCTATTACCAGCCACATTACTCCTGTTGTTGGTTAAGTCTGAGAGTGCATTGGCAATAATTGCAGTAAATCAAAAGGCAGTAATGTCCCTAAGTCATCCCAAACATTCCTGGCCTGTCATTAGCTTATTCTGTTATGCTTCCTGAGAGAGAAGAGACTCAGAGAAATGTCTCTGGGAGGGTGTTTGAAAGTATATTTCCACTACAACCTTCTTTTATAGCATTTTATTACAGTTGCATTCTGATCAATATATTTGCAGAAATAAAGGCAACGAGTGTCTCAACTCGGCCTAAGCACAGCCTTTTCCAAGGATACTTTAAAAAAGTCTTACACTGTGTGCAATTATTTCTTCACTTTTATTTTACAGATGAGTCATTGGCAACACATGTGTCAAAAGCTGTGTTATGTTCAAAGCAGACTTCTGATAAAATTGCCAATAGAGAAAAAAGTGAATCGTGTCCATCGGTATACATCAATTCTACAAATTTATCAAGAATATCCAAACATATTCCTGAGAAACAAAAAAGGCTCTCTTTGAAAACAAAAAACTTGGAGAAGCCTGTGAGACAAAACTACAGTGTTAGTAGTTCACCGGAAAAGCATAAATCTAACTATTCAAAACACAGAAGATGTTCTGATGATGCAGCACTAGAGGGTATGAAGTCATTTGGCAGTGACTTGCCTTTTTTAATAGGATGTTATGAAGAAGATGATTCTTATACTTTCAATAATTCATCTCTTCTTTCGACATCATACCACAATTCTTTTAAAGGAGAAGCAGAACAGACTGAGAACAATACTTCTGCCTTGTCTTCAAAAACTACAGACCAGCTTGTGTCATCTTTAGAAAGTGGCAACAGTGTGCCATTGTCAGAAAGTTGTCCGCCTGTCACTACCAGTGGATCTTCATGCGACTTACACAAGTTGAACATTGAAGCTTCTAGCTTAAAGGCAGGTGCACCAAGTAGAAAACGAAGTGTTTCTAATAGTGAAGAAGAAATCTCTGACCGCAGTCTGGATAGCAGTGATGAAGAGATACTCCTGCCACTTGAGAAAATATTATCTCAGAGTCCCACATGTGAAAAAAGTCCAGAACGAATAAATGATGAGGATAATACAACGGGCACTCTGATTCTGTCACATAGTGTTACTGTAAGTAGATGAAATAACCTTTTTACCTACAATATTAATGTAAGATACCGTATATACTTGAGTATAAGCCGACCCGAGTATAAGCCGAGGCACCTAATTTTACCACAAAAACTGAGAAAACGGATTGACTCGAGTATAAGCCGAGGTGAGAAATGCAGCAGCTACTGGTAAATTGCAAAATAAAAATAGATACCAAGTAAATTACATTAATTGAGGAATCGATAGGTTATATAATTTTGAATATTTTTAAAAAATGTCATTTAAGATAAGACTGTCCAAATCTGATTAAATGATTATTTACCTTCTTCGGTGTAAATGTGCTTACATATCCTTCCAATAATAATAAAGAGAGCAATATAACAAAGTAATAATAACAATAATAATAAAAAGAGTAAAATAATTAATGTAACAATAACAACAATTATACAGTAAAATAATAAATGTATAATAGAGTAAAATGATAAATGTAATAATAATAAATATAATAAAATAATAAATGCAATAATAATAATAATAATAATAATAATAACAACAGAGTAAAATAATAAATAACCTTGACTCGAGTATAAGCCGAAGGGGACTTTTTCAGCCTAAAAATAGGGCTGAAAAACTAAGCTTATACTTGAGTATATACAGTAATTTGTTTTTTCTAAAAAGTAGTCATAGGCCTGGTTACCATTTTATCTGTTTAATTCGTGTTTTCGTACCTCTTTGTTCATTCGGAAAGCATGAAACTGTACATTCCCCTCCAGTACGGCAATATCAGTGAAACGAAAGTGGGAATGGTAACCATTTGATTACCTGATTTTTGGCGCTTGGCTACAGGCCCTGGCAGGCGCTGGTGCTTTGGGCCTGCACACCACACATGCACTCTCTTTGGAAGAGGCTTTCCCTGCAGCTGAGCACTAGCCCTAAAATTGAGGGGAAGGGGAACATGGGAAGCCCGCCCATTGCCACCAATGGGACAAAAATATTTGTTTTTTCGGACCTGGGACAAGGCAGCTCATTTGGAAAGGCACCCGATTTCAGAAGAGGCACTGAAAAACGCCTTACGAATGAAAGAAACAGAAACAGTGATTCTATACAAATGCACAAGATTACTAAAAACACATTTTATCAACCTTTCTTTGCTGTGTGCACCTTGCTGCTTATGTCTTGGTTTACTTATTTGCAGTTGCCATGGAATCCAAACTTAGGAACTGGTTTAATTTCCCTTCACCTTTTAAAATATGAAACCAGCAGGGAAGAAGAGAGAGAAAATGAGTTGAAAATGCAGACACGTAGTTTCAGGCTAATACACCATAATAAATGAGGTTGAAACTTGTTATGTTTGAAATGCACTGCTGTTTTGGTGTTAGGGGAAGATGCCTCATCAAGACTAGCATTATATAGCACAGCTGAGGAGTGGGGAGAGGAAAATCCTGGGCTGGCTTCCATGGTGACTGCCAGAGCTAGCACACTTTTTCCTTTAACAAATATTTTGGTACCATGCCAAATAGTTGTGTTATTTAGTTATTTTATTTAAGACTGTGCTCTACAATTATCATTAAGTCCAAATAGAAGTTACTGTATATTAAAACCATCAAAATACAATAGAATCAAGTAATAAGAATAATGTATTGGTAAAAGAAAATATTGAAACAGTATTGAACAAAAAAAATCTTCTCAGGTTACAGTTTTAAAAATATAAAATGTTTCAAAACATTTTGAGATTTTTGAGAAGTTACTGCTTTCCCTTCTGCTTGCAAGAACACTTTCTTGGTGTCTTAGAAAAAGAGCTATGGTCTACTTTTTCCAGGTAAATCCAGGTTTAGCCCATATATGTTGTTGGTTTCCAGATATTATTCAAAATTAATTATTGCAAAAATAAATTCGTATGTATGCATCAGTTTGTAAGATACCTGTTTTAGACATTCACACTTTCCTGCAGATGTTTCTGCTTCTTGCTGTGCCAAAGAGAGCTAGTTCTTAGGAACTTCTCATATCTCACTTTCTTCTTAATTACTTTCAACTGTTTTCTGAAATAGACCTCTAAATATTTATTATAATCTGGAATCAAATGGTATATAATACATCATATGAAATCCTTCATTTTTTAACTAGTATTTTTTTTCTTAAGTGTTCCAAGCCTTCTGTGGAGATTAATGTCTCCTATCTGAATCGTCTCTTGGAGGAGAAGGAAGAATTCAGTAGGTACGCCTGCCTGTTTCTTTTTCCTGTCCTTATTATTACAGCCTGACTGTAATGACTGTTCATAAACAAAATGGACCTGTCCCATAGCATCAGGCTATTTTTGTCACTTCATCTAACGGCCTGGATGGATCCTTTTTCAAGGTGCAACTCTTGGGCTCCTTTTATTGATATCTTTCCCTTTGGTCTCAGAGTGAGCACTATAGACAAGTAGATGTTGGGTTCTGTGTGATAAACCATAGGTATTTTTGGTATTATTAAAGATGAAATGTGGATAAAATAAAACTGTAATTATTTATTGTCTAAAAAATCAGTACCTTTTATGCTTGTTCCAGGCAAAGTATATAGTAATATCTTAATTTTCAAAATTACAGTTTTTCCTGATATTCTCAGCTTTCCATATTCTCAGCTTCCAAATCTCTATTAGGATCTAATCAGTTTTTCTCTTTATTTATTGGTCCTAGCTCTGGATCTAACTGACCATACCTCTCCTGCTGCTGGAATCTGTCTTAATACTTTTTATATAAAGCCTTTGCTTTTTATAATTGTTCCCCATGGCCCTCCTCCCATGCATAGCATTCCACGAGTTATGATTGGTTAGCTATACCCAAGCTTGCCTGGCTTTTTGTTTCATAAGAGCATTTAGTTTTAAGTTGAATTTAGCATTGTTTATTTAGAACAGAGTTAGGCAACCCTTTTCATGCAGATAGGACTCCAGGGAGACAGAAGAAACTATATGATTCTATGATTCTAAGTTTTCTTTTCTCCTTTCACTTTCTTAGAATCATAGAATCATAGTGGTCTCTTCCAACTCTATGATTCTAAGAAAATGGAAGGAGAGAAGAAAACTTAGAATCATAGAGTTGGAAGAGATCTCGTGGGCATCCAGTCCAACCCCCTGCCAAGAAGCAGGAAAATCACATTCAAAGCACCCCCAACAGATGGCCATCCAGCCTCTGTTTCAAAGCTTCCAAAGAAGGAGCCTCCACCACACTCCGGGGCAGAGAGTTCCACTGCTGAACAGCTCTCACAGTTAGGAAGTTCTTCCTCAAGTTCAGGTGGAATCTCCTTTCCTGTAGTTTGAAGCCATTGTTCCACGCCCTAGTCTCCAGGACAGCAGAAAACAAGCTTGCTCCTTCCTCCCTATGACTTCCTCTCACATATTTATACATGACCATCATGTCTCCTCTCAGCCTTCTCTTCTACAGGCTAAACAAGTCCGGCTCTTTAAGACGCTCCTCAAAGGGTTTGTTCTCCAGACCCTGGATAATTTTAGTCGTCCACTTCCGGAAACTTTCAAACTTGTTGATATCTCCTTTCAATTGTGGTACCCAAAATTGGACACAGTATTTCAGGTGTGGTCTGACCAAGGCAGAATAGATGGGTAGCATGACTTCCCTGGATCTAGATACTATACCTGTTTATTCAGGCCAAAATCCCATTGGCTTTTTTTGCCGCCACATCACATTGTTGGCTCATGTTTAACTTGTTGTCCACAAGGACTCCAAGATCCTTTTCACACGTACTGCTCTCGAGCCAGGCATC